AATAAAATACAAAAGAAAAAGAAAAAGAAAAAGAAAAAAATGACAGCTTATCCATGTGAAAAAAGAAATCTAATTTATGATTAACGAACAAGCACACACGTGTTTTGACAAAAAATAATTGCAATCTTTCAAAATTTGGAAAAGTTGTATCTGAAAAAATTGGAAGAGTATGAATTCTTTGAGCAGCAAAATTTGACAGCAGAGTAATTTTGATCTAAAAGAATTGAAGCAAGAGCTGTAATAAATTGGAAATAAATAAATAAATAGGTAACATAAAAGTTCCTTTTCATAAACTATATATATAACTAAACCCCCAGCAACTGTCATCATTGTTCTTCTCTGGGGCTTATTCACCTTATTCTACTCTCAATCTCCATTATCAATAAAATGAGCTCCTTTACCTTATTCTACTCTCAATCTACGCCCCCTTTTCGACTTTCTCCACTCCAACCCAACCAGAAGACCATAATCACAGTAACCAAGCGCGCTTTTCTAATGAAACCTGCTTTGCGATGTCCAACTCGCTTTAGCCATCACCAAAATCCCATTTCCCAGGTCCAAATCCTCAAAGACTCGATTTTTATGGATTTAGGACTTATGGGTTGTCTTTTATCTTTTATATTTTTTTTCTGGTTATATGTTTCAGTTCTTGAGTTTGCGATCTGGCAGGTTTTGAGCAGCTCATCGGAAAAGAATGAAGTCTTGGATGCTAAAGATGCGGCATTGCTGGTCAACACTTGCATTACGCGTAGTTTGCCGCCAGTTTTGAGTTTGGAACAAGGGCTGGAGAGGATTAAGGAGTCCGTGGCGGAATTGAGGGCTAATCCTCCTTGTTGCTCAAGCGGGATGTACAGATTTCAGGTATTCCAAAGTCAAACAAAAGTCAAGTGTTTGGCTTTTGTTTGGTCTTGTTCTATTTTTAGAGAGAGAAGCAAGAGTTGTTTCCATAGTTTTTAAACCCGGCTCGGTGATCAACCCGGGCCGGTCTTCGAGTCACCGGGTCAATTGCTGAACTGGATAATTAATTTTAAAATTTTTAAAATTATATATAGAGTATTTTTGTTATATAAATATATATAAAAGTAACAAAATTAAATGTTTTGTGTATAAAATTTGTATATTAAAGTGTTAATAATATGTATCTCATGATAAATATTTACCATATAAACATATATACATATTTTTATTTAAAAAAAAATATATAAAAAATATATGGACCGGGTCAACCGGGTTGACCCGACCGGGTCAATGCCCCGGGTCGGCCGGGTTTGACCGGGTCTTTGGTTGCCCGGTCCAAATACTCCACCCGGACCGGTTCCGGCTCCGGGTCGACCGGGTCCCGGGTTGACCCGCCGGGCCGGTCCGGGTCTCAAAACACTGGTTGTTTCTACAAAATGGAAAATGAATTTTGAGAGTGCTTTGTGGATATATGATGTGATGTGATTATGATTATTGGAATTGTCCTGTTTCCTTAGTATACAGTATATGATTGGTGATTCGTTAATTGAAAAATTGTTATTAGTGTAGTTTTAAAAAAATTTAAGGGCACTCGCATGCCGGGAAAACTTATAAAAGATATTGAGCTGAAATTTGAAAATCTAGCACGCCGGACACGTCTATCTATTCATTTTTAATTGGCCTTAATCCGTTTCTCTGTTATCTTAGGAAAAGATTCATTTCGTATGCAAAGGCATCTTTTTGCCATGATATAACTCGTGGAAGCCTGTTCCTGTTGTTGTCGAACCTTTTTATGTTTTGATTCATTTGGTCATCCTCTTCATTGAAATCATACAATATAACTGTAAAATGGATTATGTTGACTTCTTTATCTATTTAGAAAATGTAATCATTTTTTCCTTGTGTATATTCGTGATATGTTACCATGTGGCAAATGGTGATGTTTGTTCAAGTGCTGAACATCCGAAGCTTGTTTGGCTTCTTGTGGTACAACATCAGAATCTCCTATCATTAAGTCGTTCTATTTATTCTTGTAATATACATAATTTTCTAAGTTGCATTGTAGTGCAATAGCATTTTCTAAATGTAGTGCATACAAATGTGTACATCCTGCTTTTTATGCACCTTTTTACTACAAGTATTTCCTTCTGAACTTCATCTTCTACAAATATATGAGCCCCTTTTGTGTTAATTTCATGTTCACAGCTTGCAGTGCCACCAAGTGCAAAAGCATTGAACTGGTTTTGCTCCCAACCGGATCAATCAAACATTTTTCCTCTATTTTTTCTTTCCAATGAAGAGAATCCGACGTATAATTCGCTCTCTCTTGGAAGAACCAGGGGCATTTTCGGTATTGGTTCAGCCGTTGTCTTCAAGGATTGTTCTCCTCATGGTGCAGGAAAAGACAGTAATATTAGGAGGTAAACTTTTTTCTTTCATTTCGCTTTAGCTTTAATTGAACATACCTCAATGTTGCAAACGTTAAATTGATAAAAGCAAAATTTCTGTATTTATGTTTTGGACATTTATATTCCTATTTGTTCAGTTACCAGTTATGAGGAGCATATTTTCACTGTGCTAGCAAAAATCGTTATATTTTGGGAGATGTTTAAAACTATAACTTGAAAAATCAGAACAAAATTTGCTTATTTAGCATTTAATGTCATATTTTTGCAGATATCTTTTGGCTGAACCAACAACTGCAAAGGCTTATGGTTTCTTGGATATCGAGTTCGACACCTACATGTCTGCTATAAAGCATCAGAGTGGTTCGTATTACCTTTTCATCCCTCAGGTGAAAAATCATTCTTTTGCTTGTTCAGACTATTCTTAGTTGTGTTCTGTATTGTTTTCTAAATAAAATGTAATTATTTATTTCCAACAGATTGAGTTGGATGAGTTTGAAGATATCCCTTTCTTGACCGCGACATTGGCATGGGACGACTCTTCAATTTGTACCTTTAGTGAAGCTGTTCGAAGATTTGAGCTTGCATTAGACCAGGTAATGCGAGGTTATTTACAATTTGTTTGTCAAATACCAGTCGCTATGTGAATCTCATATTTATGATTTCTTGGTAACACTAGAGCATTTTCACTGATATAAAAATTTAACTTTGATTGGCCGAGGTAAAAGGCCTAATTTTCTTCCTCTGATTGTTTCACAAGTAAACTTGGTATTGAATTTATAATCTTCAGTTAGATGATTAAACATTTTTTTAAACTTCCCACAGATTATGGCATATTTCTCAGATTCCTAGCCTTTCCAGAGCAAAATCTATGCCACTTAGAAGTTAGAACATACTATTTTGAAATGTATATATGTATCCTCTTCATCTTGAAAATCAGTTAATTTAGTTTTTACCTATAATAATAGGTTGTTGACCCGTAGTACAATTTGTTGATCAACATTTTCATTTGTCTACATACATTCATCATTCATGTTCTTATCTCATCCATTTTCTTGTTTCAGGCCATGCATACCTGTGCAAACAGAAGTCAACTGATTCGGTCTTCTCTTTCAAAGTATCGCAATGCAGAGAAACATAAGGCAATGGTAAAGATGAATTACAACTTTGTTGCCACAGGATCATTTTTTTTTTAGTTTTTCCAAGGAAGGGATCATTTTTTGACTACTGAAAAAGTCGATTCTTTTAATTTTTTACTACTTGTTCCATCTTTTTTTTTCTAATTACATCTGGAAAGATATTTTGGTAGGTACGTGCAAATGCTTTGTTATTGGATGGGAAGCACACAGCAGCCAGCGCCCTGGGGCTGGTATTTTCTTTATCTCATTTCTTATTGCAATGACTACTTTCTTTTTTTTCTTAAATTTAAAAAAAAAAAACGTAAAAGCTGACTGTTTTCATGGGTATTTTGTGTACAGGGAGATTCTTTGTCTTGTTGCAGTCAGTTTGTTGCTAGGCTTTCATCAACTTTATCAATTGCAGATAACATGGTAAGCTCATGTTATTTACATTTTTGTAGTAAGCAAGCATTTACAACTGCAAGATCTCATAAGTTATATGTAGGCCATCGATTTATACTTGGCTCCTGTCTTGTTCCTTTTATTAGTCGAAATATAGTTCCAACTTCCAATGATGGTAATCTGGCAAAGCTGATCAACTGCTAAATGAGTTGCATTAGCCTTTGAAATGCTGGCTAGTCAACTAATTCCTCCCAGATCAATGTTCATTAAATTTAAAATAGGTTGCATTATGTCTTCAGAATTTTTTCTTGTTTAAAAGGAAAAAAATATTTATGCCTGCTTACTTCTGGTATTTAAAATAGGTTGCATTATGTCTTCAAAATTTTGCTTTATATTTCAACTCATACGTGTCTATTTTCCCGAATCAGATAGATGAAACAAATTCAGTCAACAATGTGATTCAAGATTTACCCAATATCAATGCTTTGTGGGCGTACCTTATAGTTGAGGAATGCACTCGACTTGGTTTGACAGTAAGAGATATTTTGCCAAAACTGTGTTCAAATTTTCTGTTTTCTCTTTTTCTTCAACTTCTTATATAATTTTATTTTATTTTCTTCTTCATTTAGTATTTTTGTGTGGCCCCTGGATCAAGGTCATCTCCCTTAACAATTGCTGCCGCCAGTCATCCTCTCACGACTTGTATTGCATGCATTGACGAAAGATCTCTTGCATTTCATGCGCTCGGTTTTGCAAAAGGTTCAGGAAAACCGGCAGTCGTTATAACTTCATCAGGCACAGCTGTCACAAATCTTTTTCCGGCTGTGAGTGCCAAAAGCTCGTTGACTACAACTGTTTTCTAAAATAAATATTTGATTAATTTTTTGTAATTCTTTGGTGCATTAAATAGGTAGTTGAGGCTTGCCAGAGTTTTGTACCAATGCTTTTGCTAACGGCTGACCGTCCTCCCGAGCTTGTAGATGTTGGGGCTAACCAAGCTATTGATCAGGTATATATACAATATTATGGCTGTCATCTCATTATTTTCGAATTTGTGTTGCATAAATACACTATTTTACTTTTAGCAACAAGCTGAAATAATAATCAATTCCAGATTGTGTTCAATTTCTCAAATCTGTTACTTTTCCTAATCAAAGTTTCAAGAATTTCCACCTTTACAGTCCACTGTCTTTTATGATTTCCATGTTTTACGTCTCGTCCNTGTGAAACACTTTGTCATGTGTTGTAATATGAAGAGGAAAAACAAAAGAGAGAAACTACTTGGTTCGACCACTTTCTTTTAATCTTTAGAATTAGAACCTCTCTTGAAACACTTGTGAATCTGGAGGTGTGAAGAATACCTAGTATTGCAATATTCTTCTATATCATTTTTTTTTTTCAACACTCTTTTGCAACTAAGAAAATAATTTCAGATTAAGCATTATGGCTCGTTCGTGAGGCACTTTTTCAGTCTCCCTCCTCCTACAGACGAAATATCGGCAAAATACGTACTAACTACAATAGACTCAGCTTTTCTTAAATCAACATCTTCCCCAGTGGGCCCCATACACATCAATTGCCCTTTCCGTGAGCCATTGGCAAGCACCTCGAAAACTTGGAGCCACAAATGTTTAAGTGGATTGGACACTTGGATTTCAAATGCCGAACCATTGACCAGACATTCTTTGACGTGTTATAGTAACGTGAAAGAGCAGATGGTTGAGGTGGTGAAACTGGTCAAAGGGGCAAATCAGGGAATTTTGGTGTTGGGTTCGATTCAGAAGGAGGATGACATGTGGGCAGCTCTTTTGCTGGCCAAGCACTTGTTGTGGCCGATTGCTGTTGATATTCAGTCGGGTTTGAGGTTGAGGAAGTACGTGTCGACTTTTCTTGACAGCAAGGATATATTGTTCGTTGATCAGCTTGATCAGCTGTTGCTGTCTGAATCTGTAAGGGAATGGATGAGGGCAGATGTAATAATACAGGTAAAATTCACGAATTTTAATTCATTTTTCGTGAATTTTTAAAGCTTATGAATCTCAAAATAAGAATGCAATCTAAAACTCATGTTCTGTTGTTTATATGTTAATAATTTTGAAACTTGTTTAGGATTCTTGTGACCACTTCTATACTTAACGGTATAGTTACTTAGGGGGCGATTGGATATAGTTTCTACAGTAAAAAAAACCAATAAAAAAAACCTAATCAAAGCTCAAATTTTACTCAACTTTAACTCAACCCACTATCTCCAAAATTATCAATATAATTATATAATATCAACCAATCATTCTCACACATCCCATCAACTTTATTTCACTATTCATCCGCCCACATAATTTTAACTAACCATTACTTCCAATCATTTTTCTCCTACTTTGCATCAAATCAACTTTAATTATTTTATTAAATATTATTTTAATATATTCACTAACAACTAACCATACCACATCTTTTTCAAAATTAACTAATAGTTAAAAAACAAACCAAATAAAAACTAGTTGAATCCATAAACAGTCACCCCTCCTTACTCCTTTTTCGAAGAAAGCAAATATTATAAATGTGGGTTTGACATGAAAATGGCGCCCAATTAGAACCTTAAAAGNTGATCATCCAGCTCGTCATGATCCTTCTAATATCATCACACACAGGATCCAAACTACCATTCCCGAGTTCACTGATTGCTTGATCAAGTGTTGTAATCCTCGTGCAAGCAACAAATGGCGCGAGTTAATACGAGGATTGGACATGAGGGTGTGTTTTTTTTTTTTCTTCAATCTTTTATCATGTGCTACTTATTCATCATTTTTGGGCTCCACAGTTGAAAATTTTGTATTAATAATGAATTTCAGGGGGGTAAAATAATAATAAAGAAGTTTGGGGGGTAAAGTGCAAATCTCCATAGTTAGGAGCTATTGAATGTAGTTTTTTCCTCTTTCTCTAGTAAAGTTGAGATTGTATTAACTGCTTGCATTACAAAATTTACTTTACTTTTTACAGGCTTCCTGGGAGACCTCATTTCTGATTAATTCGGAACAATCCTTGACCGAACCTTACGTAGCTCGGAAAATCTCGGAGGCAATTCGCTGTGGGTCGGCTTTGTTTTACGGGAACAGCATGCCAATACGTGATGCGGATATGTATGGCTGTGACTGGGTGCATTGCACCCACAGTGCTGCTCTCATGTTGAGCTCTGGCTTGCCATGTCACCCAGTGCATGTTAGCGGGAATCGAGGGGCTAGCGGTATTGATGGTTTGATAAGCACTGCTATTGGATTTGCTGTTGGCTGCAATAAAAGAGTAAGAAACAAAATATTTTTACTTTTGATTGTGAAGACTTTATTTGGGTTTGTAAATTTTCTATTCTATTTGTTTGTAATATATCAGGTGCTTCTTGTGATTGGCGATATTTCATTTTTGCATGATACAAACGGGTTGGCATTACTAAGACAACGGTAGAGATTTTATTTTTATTTTTTTTGGGGTCTTTTTTCTTTTGTGTTTACTGTACATTATTTGGTTTCCTTTTTCTGTTTGTATTTAATATTGTGTGCCTTTTCTTGTGAAGGACATACCGGAAACCAATGGTCATACTTGTGCTTAACAATCATGGTGGAGCCATCTTTAGTCAATTACCAGTTGCAAATACCACAGATAGAAGCATACTAGACCAGTTTTTCTACACGTCTCACAATGTGTCGATACGCAATCTATGTTTAGCACATGGGTAAGAGCGATCTTCTTTATTTTGATTACTGCGAAAATTGTCTTTGATGTTCAGTCAATTAATAAAAACTCCTTTGTAAGAAAACAAATAAAACAAAAAAAATCTACTTGCAAAAGTTGCATCTATCTTACAATTTTTAACCAGTCGGTAATGGAGCTAATAGAAATTGCAGATGTCATCAAATGCTTTTATGATTAAATCCCTCATCTTTTCTGAAGACTTGAAATAACACAAATAAACGATACAAATCCATGGCCAGAAAGTTTAATCTGTCTTCTTCTTTCACCGTCATACATAAGAATTCTTTCTTTTTAAAATTCTTTTGTTGATTGAATTTTTGGGCTCTACATTGGACATCGAACATCTTGATTTATTGAAAAATATTGTTCGAGCAGTGTGAAGCATGTTCAAGTGCAAACAAAAAGGGAGTTAGAAGATGCATTGTCCACATCTCAAAAAGAAGACGTTGATTGCGTGGTGGAAGTCGAGAGTGAAATTGATATGAACGTCGCTATTCATAGGTATATCAAATTTTTTTCCCACTTGCCACATTAATGTCTTTACTTTTTCACTTATGCTAACACATTTTGTTCAAATTTTAGTAAGTTGAGGAATTTTTCTCGCAAAGCCTCGGATAATGCACTTAACATCCTCTCAAAGCTGTCAGTTGAAGATTCCAGCTTGGAAAATTACAAGATCCATAAAATGGATTACTTTCTCTACCGGTTTGCAACTCACCATTAGGATTATCAAAGACCTGCATATGAAACTTTCAAATTCATATTTTTCATATGGTTTCCAACTTATGGCAGGGTTGAGCTTAATGCCCCACCTACTTCAGCTTCTATGGAGTCGAAGGCTCCCACATCCTATAGGGAAGGTTTTGTCATAAGTCTAACTCTTGAAGATGGTAGTAGTGGATTTGGTGAGGTTAGCAACGCCTAAGTATTACTAGTGCTTTCGTGCTTTTATATTCCCTTGTTGACTTATTTAATTCTCTCTCTCTCTCTCTCTCTCTCTCTCTCTCTCAACAGGTGGCACCTCTTGAAATCCACAAAGAGAACTTGCTTGATGTGGAAGAGCAACTTCGGTTTCTTGTTCACGCTATGGAAGGAAAGACAATCAGTGGCATACTACCGCTGTTGAGTTGTTCGATTTCTTCTTGGATATGGAAGAATTTAGGAATTCCGGTATGACTTTTCGAGCTGTAATATGTGCATTTTTTTTTTAATAATCTAAACACAAACACTTTAAATAAGTAACTGTCTGGTTTTTGTTGAGAAAATGTACTGCTTTAGTGGTGTTCTTGATTGGCCAACTTCTGATTGTGGTTATGCATATTGAAGCGTCATGCTTCAAACTCTCGTTCTGCTTATAGGTTAACCTCTATATGAAGATGAATGTACTTGTTAAATTTATTTCCTAAATCTTCTCTCTTTTAAGTTCAAAAATTCTATGGAACCAGCACAAAAGACCATCTCACTTAATACCATTTTTATTATAATGTTTCTCTTTTGTTTATTTTTTATTTCCCTCTTTATAATGGTCACATTGTCATCTCAAAGATGCTTTGACAGTTCCTATGTACTATAGCCAGGTTCAATCTTTCCCAGTGTTCGATGTGGATTAGAGACAGCTCTCCTGAGTGCTATTGCAAGTAAACAAAATAGCACTTTACTGGATATAATTAGTCCCACAACAGAAAAAACGTCCGAGAAATCATCTGCTGTTCAAATTTGTGCCCTCATTGACTCCTACGGGACTCCAATGGACACAGCTCTTGTAGCATCTAATTTGGTTGATGAAGGATTTACGGCTATAAAAATAAAAGTAAGTTTGTACCCACACCACACATTTTAAATTGTCCTTTTCTCTTTGATTCTTTTGGTACAGTTGGAATTATCTTTCATTTCTGACTTGTTACAGGTTGCACGTCGAGCAGATCCTGATGAAGACATAGTTACAATACAAGAGGTGAGAAGAAAAGTGGGAAAAGATGTTGTAATCCGTGTGGATGCAAATAGGAAATGGAATTATGATGAAGCCGTTAAGTTTGCTCTCTCGACCAAAGATTGCTGCCTGCAATATATCGAGGTTTGACACAAAGCATCTGTTTTAAAAGAGTCAGCTTTTAGTTGTTTAAGAGAAAAAAAAAAAAAGGTAAAACGCTTCTGCTTGTGATATTATTTGTGCATAAATGTAGAGGAAATGATCCTTTGGTTTCCTATATGGTGACTTAATATATATTCTTCTCTTTTAATATCATATTTTTTTAATGTTTGCTAACTTCTCCTCATTTTGATGCAGGAACCAGTGAATGATGAGAATGATATAGTGAAATTCTGTGAAGAAACTGGTGTACCAGTGGCTTTGGATGAAACAATCAACTCTATAGGGGAGAACCCTCTGGAGGTCCTTGGGAAATACAGCCACTCAGGAATTACTTCTGTTGTAAGTAGAATTGAATGCACTTTTTGTTATATATAATAATTCTTAGAATTTTAGTTTTTCCCTTGGACATTTGAGAACTTCCCGTATATTATGCTACCGTCACCAAAAAAACCTTTTAAAACTTCCCCCAATCTTCTTGTAGCGTGTTTTCCCATTTTTCCGCCATGCAAGGCTGTTATCTTGGATTTCGAAACAGTCTCAACTTTGAAATTTGTTGACATCTTCAAATATTTCACAGCTGCACTCCTCAATTTTCAAAATATCAAGAATAGCTCAAGTTTTTCTTTTTTCACCTGGCTAGTTGTGATATTTACGAAACTTATCCAAAATATAAGATGAAAGGTTAGGATTGTTAGCTATATAAAAAATAATTGGTGCAAGCACATTAAGACTAATGTCCAAAATGGTTATCTTCTTAATTTTCTTTGNNAACCTCAAGGTAGCTTTTGTAATTAACGCTGCACGTAATGATTATTTACCTATGATGTCTGTATGCTTATTCAGTGAGAATTTTATTCATTTTAAAATAATTATAAATTATCTCAGGTAATCAAACCTAGTGTCATCGGTGGTTTCGAAAAGGCAGCTCTAGTCGCAAGGTGGGCCCATCAGCTCGGGAAAACAGCTGTCATTAGTGCTGCTTATGAAAGTTCACTTGGTTTGTCAGCCTACGTTCAGTTCGCCCATTACCTCGACCTGCAAAATGCCGAAATTCGAAGCTTGACGAGCAAGGAACTCGAACCAATCACAGTGCACGGTTTGGGGACATACAAATGGTTCAAAGAGGATGTGACTTTGGAGCATCTAAATATTCATTATAATCCTGACCACAGATCAGTCGAGGCTGATGCTGTTGATGCCGGTCGATTTCTGCAGAATTTTCGGGTAAATAATGAAGTGGTTGTTAGAAAGTTTGTGGGTAAACAAGTGCGCAAGTACCAAGTAGCGGTTGATACGGATGGTGTCTCGTTTACTACAAATGTGGTCGAGACTGGAGAAAGCATTGATGTAAGTGTTTTAAAATTACGAAAGCAGCCCATGAGGTTTAGTCTAATTATAAAAGAATCCGAGCCATCTTTCGAAATTACAGTAATATGTTTGAAGCTGCAAAACAGAAACAAATATCGAGAGGGTGTTTGTAACTTTGAATAATATCTGAGGATTTTGTTACTAGACTAATAAACAACCAGGGTACTATTTTGTAGTAACCACTAGATTAAGGCTATGTTTGGTAGCCAAAGCTTACAAGCTTCTTGTATTTAAATAAGCGGACAAACATTTTTAAAAAGATCTTATTTCATAAGCTTCTTGGGGAAGTTTTTCAAATAAGCTCGTTCAAATTTTGATTTCAGCTAATTTTACCAAACACATTAACCGTAGAAGCTAGTTTTTAAGCTATAAGTCATGAGCTATCAGCTATAAATAAGCTCAAAATTTACTTAATAGCTATAAGCTAGCTTATCCGTTATAAGCTAAAAGCTCGGTTTACCAGACATAGGCTAAGTTAAAGGGACTTGTAAGTTTGGGATGGATTATTATCGAGATTCTAAGTTGCTCTTTTTCATATCCTATCGATGCAGGGTAGTGCTATTGTGTTCCTCCATGGGTTTCTTGGAAGCAAAGGTGATTGGGTCCCGATTATGAAATCCCTCTCAACCTCCAATAGATGCATTGCAATCGATCTACCTGGCCACGGAGGATCAAAGTTGCAATTTAACGGTTCCGATTTGTCAATTGATATGGTAGTCGATACCTTGTGCAAGGTGTTAAATAATCTCACTCCTCATAAGGTCACTCTTGTGGGGTACTCAATGGGCGCTAGGATCTCTTTATACACAGCCCTAAAATGTTCTCACAAGGTATATGCACTACATTTTATAGTTAATTATAGATATACCATCGAGGTTCTGTCTAACTATCAAAGAAAAAACTTTTACGAAAGGCAAATTTGCCCCTAATATCACAACCTTTATCAAAGTTGCGATTTAATCATGACCTTTTCACTTTTGCAAATTATATCACAATCTTTAGTTTCTTGCAAACAGTCTGAAAACAGTAATAGAAAAGTTGATAGTGGTCGAACAACAAACTGAAGATTGTGATATAGTTTGCACGGGATATGCAAATCGGTGCACCAATTTGCAACAAACTGAAGGTTGTGATTTAATTTGCAGAAGTGAAAAAGTCGTGATTAAATTGCAATTTCGAAAAAGGTCATGATATTGAGGGCAATTTTGCAAGAAGAATTTAATGTGTTTCTAGTTTGCTATTTATAATGGATAACTCTGATTTTGTACTAACTCAAATTTGTGTAATGTGTGATATTAAAAAGGTTGAAAAGGCTGTTATAATCTCGGGAAGCCCGGGTTTGATAGACAATGATGCAAGGGAAATCCGTAAGGCTAAAGATGACTTTCGAGCAAGCACACTCGTGTCAAATGGGTTAGAGTTTTTTACGGAGGCTTGGTATGGTGAAGAACTGTGGGCAAGGTATGTTCAAGCGAACCGTGCATTTGTGTTTTACCATTTACTTTTGATGAATTTCGTGTAAAAATTAATTGCCCATTTTTTTCATGATGCAGCTTAAGAACCCATCCACACTTTAAAATGATAGTTTCCAGCCGTTTGCAGCATGATGACTTGCCGACTCTTGGTAAAGTTCTCTCTGGCTTAAGCATCGGAAGGCAACCGTAAGTTCTCCAATAAATATTGCTATATTTTTTCTTTTCATTTGAATTTTATGGATAATTATAGAAGCACCACTGAAGTTTAGCTTAATTACACACAAAAAGAAATCAGGTATGTGAGTGAAAGACACTGCTGAATTTATATATGCATACATACTTTTTTTTTTCCCTATGCCAGATCTTTGTGGGAGGATCTGAAGCATTGCAAGGTTCCACTGCAGATTTTAGTGGGAGAAAAAGATGCAAAGTTTAGAAGAATCGCTCGTGAGATGTACGCCAAAATTGGCCATGAAAATGGAAGTTGTAATTATTCACCGCCATTGACTGAAATTCGGAATGCTGGACATGCAGTTCATCTCGAGAATCCTCTTGCTGTGATTACCGCTCTACGACAGTTCATATAGAGAGAGGGAAGACTAGTTAGATCCCTTGATTTATGTACAATAAAATAAAATTTACAATAAAAGAAGTAAAGAAGAAGAAATGAATAATGCATAGATCATTCAATTGTTGTCTCCAAAAGAAAGTGTAGTTTTTCATAAAGTAGAATAGTGTTACAGAAAGATATAATCTTGTATGTAAGGAAATAATGAGTCACCTCAGTTGTAACAAGGGATCAAATAAGTTCCACTTCACAATTGGTCATCTTTCTTGGCCTATATGTTTGGATTCAAAATTTTCAGTTTTTGATGGGAATGTTATCTCTGTTGGAGTGTTGATAAATGCAAGATGAGTTTAAACCTTGGATCTTAGGCTTCCAGGAACATGTGCTGTATAATAAAAGTTGTGGAGCATCCTAGTGGAAGTGGAAGTAATGTTGTTTTCATATGCATGTTTATGAAAACAGCATCCTAGTGTCTCAAATTGCTCTTATTTGAAAATTCTATCCTATCTTGTGGAGCATCGTTGGATCAACACACAACCAAGTGAATGTTTATATAAAAATGTGTGATTCGACGAATAAAACATCATTGTGGATAGGATCAACTTACCCTGACAAAACCAACTCGTTATGAGCAGATATATTTGCATACAAGCACCCCCTGACTAACAAAACCAACTCCATTCAAGAAAAGTGAGCAAGCTTTAGTACTCATTAGCTGCAACTGCATTTTCATGCTTTATTAAGAATCAACCCAAACGTACAGATTGCATACCTAAAATGACGAAAGTTTAAAGTGACAAAAGTTCATTAATGCGATTTTTTCAATCTTTATTTTACATGGGTTATAACTTATATGCAATCTTAAAAACAAATAAAAAAATTAAAAAAAAAAAACAAAGAAGAAGAAGAAGAAGAAGAAGAAGAATATCTTTGAAGTGTAACCTACAAGATAAAGTATTAAGGCAGGCCAATGGTGTTCTAAGATCAACCCCATGTGATGATTTTGGAGAAAAGCTACGTCAACTAATGGGTTTATCTTGTACTATAGAATTATTCAATATTCGTTTTAATTTATTCCACGGATAGAATAGGGAATAATCTCCAATCAAAGCCTAAATTCCATCACTTCGTAAAACATCACAAATTTAATCATACATATTCGAATTAGTATATTTTCATCAAATGATATCATTTACTTGTATAGACTGCACAGTACACAAAAACTATGACTGAAATTGGGTCATAAACGTTATAGCGTTGCCTTGCGACTAGAAACTGAGGCTAGAAAGTTGCTAAATTTCACCATTATCAATGAATCATAAAACCTTACTTTCAAAATTGAATTGCCTAACGCTGTCTAGTCTTGGAATAAAACCTTACTTGCCATCTTTGGAATAAAAACTTCGAAACTAAGCAAATTACTTTATCTAGTGGACACTCTGAGCAAATCTTTAGCTGAACAAAAAGAAGAATAACAACATTACTTGTGTCCGACTACAGGACAACTGATGTTGGTACACAGACAAGATGTAAAATCAAGAAATTTGCTTCTCTTCTTCACAGCATCCGGCTGAGAGATTTGATGAGCGACTTCAAGTTCTTTCTTGTGGCTTCATCCCCAGTAAATCCTAATATATCAGAGCTTATGTTCTGCATGTGTTGATTAGAAATGAAGATAACATATTTAAGAAAATATTGATATATAGGTATGGAGAGGGAGAATAATAGCTAAGAATTTGAATATGAACAAGGAGAGCCTACCTCAATGTTCTTCAAAGTAAATATGAGGGTATAAATAGATTTCTGAATTAATTCAGTATTCTCCGGGGTCATAATTGATGACTGCACCCTTCTGCATAGGTTTACAGACAATGTACCATCAGCCAATAACCGTACAAACAAACACGCGTTCAAACAAGCACAAGTACACAAACATCCTACATGACAAACAAACAAGCATTATTTGAAGCTTAAAATTATATTTATATATATGATGGGGTTCAAATGAGAACCAGTCCTTAGTGTGAGAACCATGAGAATGTTGTTTTTAGTTGTGTGTAATGCTCCTTTCCATTGTGTTTGTATGTATTTCTAATTAGGATTTATGTTTAAAAACAGTAATACTATAAATATAATAGCATCTGCATATGATTTACAAAAGTTAGCATTATACACAATTAAAAATAGAATCAAATTTGGACCTCAGGATTTTCACACCAGACTTATTTTTATCAGAACCTAACCTTATGTATATAAGTGTGTGGGTGTGTATAACTCTAAAGATTGAAGCTTAAAATTGTTTATATTTGTGTGCGTAGATTAAATAGCGGTATACTTGTAATTTCATCCAGATCGTCATGAATTAATCCAATAACTCTACAAGCAATAGCAGGTGAACTAAATGGAAATGCATCACAAAATAATAAACAAAAAAATGTCCAGTTATTTTCATATCCTGCAATAGGAAAATACGAATTTAGTAGTTTCTTCAAAAGGATTGGTACATGACACAGATGATACTATCATACTATACTAAGATCATAATAAAATGCTTACATGTCCATAAAAATACCTAACTTCCAGCGTCTTTCATAATCTTTTCTTGTTTAAACAAAAAATATCAATTTAAAATAACTGGGAACCCATACATGTACTGACTAGGAGTTGTCTGAAGCATCTTCTGATATCAAAGAAATAGGAAAGCACAAATGTTTGTATGCATGTTGAGTACGTCCAAACTTGCAGAAAGGTAACAACTAATAAATGGTACACAAATGTGAAAGGCATTAACCTAAATTCCTCAGATGCTCGCGTAAGGCTTTTGGTTAAGCTGTCTACATCCTTTAGCAAACCACTATCTTGAACTTCAGCCAGCAAAGGTTCTATATCTTCTGCCATGGCTTGAATCTGAAAAATTACTACATCAAAGACGTAATCTGCATGAGAATACATCAATGCTATGATCTACACTGAAGCTACAGATTTATTCGTGACTAGCAAAATATCATTATTTTGCATGACCATTTTCGTTTTGCATTCTTATTCTAAAGATGGCCATCGGAACAGATACCTGTTCCTAGAAACAATTAACTGAAAACTAATTTCATACAGCAGCCAACAAGGCGACCAGAAAGAACAGAATTCTGATGTTACATTGTTGGGGAAAGCACTAACATAACACTTAGCTGCCAAAACCCCAGAGTGGTCCCGATAACCATCTGCAATCCCAAATTTAGATTGGTCCCGCAAAAAGATATGTTCCGAAAGGAAAAAGCAGAGCAGCATCATTTTGCTACAATCTAAAACATTTGTTGCTATTACAAAAAGCAACGCTAAAATAAAATAAAATTTTATAGCTTGTTGAAAGTGAAACAGATTAAGCAAAAAAATGAAAGTTGGAGGCAAAGACATCTCATGAAGAAGAGAGAACAAGCATCAAATATAGCTGGAGCAATTTAACCAACCTTCCCAGGAAATATAAAAAGAATGTCGTTACCCCAAACAAAGATATTAATACATGAAAACATGCCAGCTTCACGGGTGAGCTCAAGAGGGCATAGTAGAACCTAATAGAATGAGCCTGTCTACCTGAAATACAACACTTACACCACATGCATAATTACAAATGATATCGACATGCACTGCATGAGTATAGCTACGATATAGCTATTTACCCTCTACAGGAGCCATTGTCCAAGTAAATATGACAACACTAGTTAGTTCACACTTCAGAATTAAATCCAACTGTAGTTTGCAGAAGTTCAATTATGACTACCAAGGAAAATATACAAATTAATCACAGTGAATATGCCACCTGAGCAGCTGAAACCAGCATACCACAATGGAACTCCATTCAAGTAAGTGACAACAACGAGAGCACACCTTCGAAAGAAGAGGTCGTGCCTCTTCAATAATATTGGCAACCCTTTCAGCCATTGAATAGGCATTGGCAACACCAATTTCTTCAACTTCACGCCCAATGCGAGTAAATATTCCAACCAATGCATCCAAACTCACCCCCTGATGCCCCTTTATCTTTTGCCTGTCGCATACAATTAAACTCTCTTTAACACAATTTGCATGAAGAGGTCCAACTGAAGGAGATGGAATGGGATCTCGTGGGGTAATGTCAATGAGAGTTTCCATGAGAAGACCAGACTGATTGACTTCGATCAAAGAATTCCGTGGTATTATAAGTTTGTCATCTCTAATCTGCATCACCAAGATCAAGACAAACAACAATAAAGTGCAAGCACATTCAAGCCACAAGTAGAAACCAAAACGAAAAGCCTGCTCAACTGTCTCACCTCAACTTCAGCCTCGATACTCTTGAGAGAGGAGTTAACGCGAACCACATTCCCCACATTTACCCCTCGAATCCTAACGGGTGTGCCGGCACAAATGCCACTAGCATTCGAAAACTCAAAAACAGCCAGATATTTGTTGAACCTTGATCTTAACTGAAACCCCCTCAACCAAGCCAAGCTAAATGCCAACAGAAATGCCCCCGACACAAGAAACAAGCCAACACCACCCTCCCACACGCTTTTCCTACCGAATCCAAAATCACTCAACGGTCTCAAAGTTTGTTTCCAAATTGTCCTCGGAACATCGAGAATCAGAGAGAGAGGACTCTTTGACTCGGAGGAAGACCCATCCTGATGGTTATGACCAGAAGATGATGTGGCTTTGACAAAAATACGTTTCCTCATCTTCTGTCCAACAGGAGTGTTCAGGCAAGGCAGGAAATTTAACTTACCATTCATAGCAGGTGTGGGAAAATAGGAAGGCAACAACTGGGGGCTCGTTGAGACAAAGCGCAGTGAATTCCCTTCCATCTCTCTCTCTCTCTCTCTCAAACCCTATATAAAAAAATTTGAACTCAATGTGTCGTTCAGTATTAACAGATTTTAGCAGTGATAGGATCCTGGGATCCTTCCTAAATCTTCAACATGGCCGCAATACCACCGACTGTAAAAAGACCTGTGTAAGGCATACAGCATTAGAAGATAAAATTAAAAGAAACATCAAAGGGTGAAGTTAGATATGAATACCATGCATTCTAAACATGTGTTATTGACGAGAAACCCAAAGCTTTGAACCCTAAATTTGTTCCATGTAGTCAGTTAGTCATCCATTTTCTCAGCTAGGTGGACAGAAATTAAGGCTACCTAACGCATATTGTTTCATCAGTTTAATCCAATTCCAAAGGTCCCTCACTACCTTCAACGACAGACCAAAATCAGCGGCATTTTACCCATAGATAAACCCCAATTCACTATTTTTCTCCGCCCTAAGCCAATCATTCCGTACTTACTGATGAAAAAATCTTAATGCAAACGAAGACCTTATCTTAGCCCGGGAGCTTGCTGTTGAGGGGAGGCGGACACAACCGGCGAGCGGCGATGGAAGACGAGATTAAGAGAGAGAAGCAACGCCGGCCTCGGTGGCAGAGGTGAGGATGGCGATTGACAGGTTCGGTGGTACAAGGTGGGAGGTACGGTGCTAGGGCAACTCCAGATTTTTCTCCTTTGAAGGTGAACAGCAGCTGGAGTATTTTGTTTGGTTTCACTCCATGTGGCTGGCTGACCCAAACAACCATTGCCTAAAAATCGAGCTCCCGTGCATTATTATTATTATTATTATTATCTATACTTATATAATAAGAATTAATATTTATCCAAAATAGTAGGTCAAATTATGGTTAATGTCGGATTTGCATTAAATATTTTTCAAAACTGGTAAGTTTTTGTCCTTTTCACACTTCTCATTAATTATGTCCTTTTCACACTTCTCATTAATTATGTCATTTTCACACATCTAATTAATTCATTAATTACGACATAATTATCATAAATCATTCCATCTGAGCTTTTATCGTTAAAATGTATAGCGATCTGTTATGACCTTATCCCATTGATATTTTCATGAAGCGTCCTTATCGCGTTCTATTTTTTGGTAACCACTCTATATCGATAACCGGATATTTGGTTAATGATAGCACACGTCTTTATTTCAAGGAGCGGATACTTTGACCTTTAATTAATCTGAACGGATTGCCTTGATTTTTCAATTATTAAAAACTCTTTTTTTAATATTTCGGCTTAAGATTCGGATTTCATTATACAAGTCATTGGATTGTTTGAATGAAGATGAATGAAAAGAACACCAAAAACAGGTAGCCTTATACCAATTCTAAAATATTAGTTTGTTCACCAAAAAGAGACAAATCCTAGAAATCCTAAAATATTAGTTTGTTCACTAATTCTAAAATATTAGTTTGTTTACCAAAAATATTAGTTTGATTTTTAGGATTTGTCTCTTTTGAAAATATTAGTTTGTGATAATGAGGAGTTACCAAATAATCAAACTCATAATATTGTGTACAAAGAGGTTTTTAATAATATATGATTGTTACCGAACTTTTTATGATTCAACAATGTTCCTATATATTTTAATGATTTCAATTTCGATCCTAATGCACGTGAGGTTATATTATTCTTTCAAATTTTACATCCCGTGCATCGCACGGGTTATGTACTAGTTATTATTATTATTATTATTATTATAAACAATATTATTATTATTATTTTTATTTTTATTATTAGTATTAATATTTAAAATTTACATTTTACTCACGTAATTATGCAATTTTTTTTCTCATTTTAGTAATAAAATTATAGTCTTATTTGATACTTAGCTCGTAACATATTAAATTAACTTAAATCAATTTCTTGATTGATTGGTGTGCAAACGACATCAATCGGTTCGAACTTCGAACGACCTTAAATCCGTTTTCGTCCGATTCAAAGACCGGCAAAATAGCAAAGAGAGTGGTCTTGGCGTAAAGGCTCCATCTATTGCCCGAGCTACCCATTCGTACAACCTGAGTGCCCAAATTGTCCGATTCTATTAGGCCACGTGGTCCTATCCACGTATGATTTTTATCCTAATAATGTTCATTTTATTTCTTATGTGGTGCGTTCACATTAGACTACCTCATTAGGCGATCTAATTGTGTGACCAACTCAGCTTTCCTTGAACCAGGTTACTTCGACCTTCCGCGTATAAGCTTTAATTATTAGGTCGCGCTATCGACATGTCTGCCTCCTCGTCGTGTTTCTATCAGGCTAGCCGAGAGCCCTAGCTCGACCTGTTGGTGAACTCTCTTACTTGTGAGATCTTCATCGATCTGTTGATTCTTCGACCTCATGTTCATTTGACGTCTAATCGACCTGTCCGTCCACACGGTCCAGTAAAATCGCTCCTTAGGTCGTACTCATTAGTTCGCAAACTTATTTGACCAGCTTGTCATCTCGATATTCCTTTTCCTTTTGTCCCAAACAACCCTTTCGACCTAGGTCCCAAGCTAAGGAGAACTAAATAATTTAAACTCATAATTGTTGTTTGTTTATCCTTTTAAATTTTAGAACTGTGTTGTTTATTCTTTGAAGTGAAGTTTAGACGTGATTTGTTTAATTGTAAAGGTGTTTTAGTTGTATGAGATTTGGTGTTTATATATTATTTATGCTAAGTTTAATCATATGTTGTCTTATGCAACTGATAATATGTTTTTTATTAAAACTTCAGCGGTTGTGGAGTTTTTGTTACGTCATTTGCTGAGTATTTCATCACTGACACTCCCCTGATTGACAAGTACGATGTTGATTGGAGATGTTGAGGTATTCATACTTATTGCATGGATATCGCAAAATGCAGCAAGGGAAGGGATGCAGAAGTGAAAATGATTCGCCTGGGTCGCTTCCTGATTTCGAGCACACCAAATTGTTACCATTTACTACTTCAAGTTAAAAAAAAAATGATTTAAGTCATATTTTATTTTTAAGTTTAATGAACTGACTTCAATGTATGAGCACTGAGTTTATTCGTGGTCGTAGTGTTTGATTTAGACTTTTGGATGTTTTTAGTAAGGTTTTTATTCTGCACCGTAATATTGAAATATTTATGTGTTGATTTTGAATTTCTATCGAAGGTGATTTTGTATGCAACAACGAAAATGTTGTTATTTGATTTTACTTTTTTTGTTTATTTAACACTTAGTTAATGTATATTAAACATGATGGGGATAAGTAAACATATACTGTTGTAAACATTATACCAAATTATATATCACATATTATATATATATATATATGTGTGTGTGTGTGTGTGTGTGTGTGTGTGTCATAAACGAATACATATACTTTGGCTATGTTTGGTAAAACTAGCTGATAGATAATAAGCTAGCTTATAACTTATTTGTAATTTTCGAGCTTATATCTTATAACTTATGACTTATAGATGAAGAGATAGATTATATGATAAAATCGTTTGGTAAAATTAGCTGATAAGCTAGCTGAAATGAAAAAAATAAATAAAAAATCAACTAGCTTATTGGAAAAGCTATCTAAAGAAGCTTATTAGATAAGTTCGAGCTTTTAAAAAAACTCATCCTGCCAAACGAGACTTATTTAAACACAGAAAGTTTATAAGCTAATCAAATAAGCTATACGCTAGCTTATTTGGCTGCCAAACATAGCCTTAGTGTATACTTTAGTTAACAATATCATTTAGCATAAGTAGATATTTACTTAAGCATATACGCAACATATACTTAACCATATATTGAATTATGTCCTGTTGTTGTATATGTAACTTATACATTACTTAAACACAAAAAAATACCTCATATCGTATATGAAGACCCATTTGAATGTCTGCTTATATTGAGATGTGACCTCTTAGTACAACATTTATCTAAAATAAAAAACATCATGTTTAACAAATACTATTATCAATAAAGAACATTTTTTTTATTCAATTATATTCACCGTTGGACATATCATTATTACACTTTTTCGAATTTGGACATGTTTTCGTTAGATAGTGAACCGAACAAAAACTGTATTGGATCGTGGTGGAGGCTGAGCCTTTTCTGCACTACACATTTATGTGGAAACGATTGTCCCGCCACAATATCAGACTTAAGTACTCATCAGACACTGCAAGACAATCTATGTTTTGGTTTATGCCAAGTATAGCTTCAGTATATTTTACTGTTTCTTCCATAGTATCTGCAGCGTTGTTGATCCAAACTCGGATATGATCGATAAACACAGTTAATTCAGATATTTTCCGACATGTCTAGAAATCCAAAATCGTAAGGGTAGATAATAAAATCAGGAGAAACAAAAAAGATAATAATATAAATAAAATTACGCAATTAAAATTACCTTTAGATTTCTAAAATTACCTTCATCATTTAGTCGAGTCTCAGCCTGTCGGTCGTCGCCGCTGTACATCAAGCCACGAATCTAAGCTGTCGCCCCAAGATTTTAATTCTCAACTAAGCCAAGCGGGACCGCGCAACCCTCCGCCACCGCCGCCGCTGGTCGTCGCATCGTCTGTCGTCACTCATAGGTAAGGCCTTCGTACATCGAACCACGAATCTAAGATGTCGCCCCAAAAGTTTAATTCTTAATCGAGAGTCGAGCTGCACCAAGAAACCCTCTGACGTCCCAGGCCGTCACATCGTCTGTCGATCTCCAATACTAGATCATTTGCCTTTTTTTTTTTTAAATAAACAAAGATGAAAGAAATATATCACAATTTCATTTGAAAAATCAATTGCGTGAAACGTTGATAATATGTCCTATATTTTTGGAATAATTTTTTTTAGTTTTTTTATTCGAATGGCCTGTTACGGGATTGAGAGGATGGCAACGAGGTTAATGGGACTAATAGAGAAATCGTATATTTGATAATACATGCTCGATATTAACTAGTATGATAAAACTTCTCCCACAAATGTAATTATGAACACATGATAAGTACGTGAATTCGCCTGTCATATTTTATTTAAATAACTATTTGTGGGTGTGAATGTCCTTGGGCTATGCAGCGCTGGGCCTACCAAAGTTCCCATATCAGCATCGACATTAAGCGGCCCAAAGGGAAACAGACGCATCAATTAGTTTCCCGCCAAGACGTCCTCCGGGGAAAAAACCCATGCCCACAATTTCCAACCGCTTTTGCTCCCTTCTTAAAAAATGCTGCGAGAACCAAAACCTCAAACAAGCCAAAGAGCTCCACGCCCACATAATCAAGAATCTGATTGACCCTGAAACTTTCCTGCTAAACAACCTCATCAATGGTTATAACAAACTCGGCACCCTTCTGTACGCCCGCAATGTGTTCGACCAAATGCCCAGCCCAAACAGCTTCTCTTGGAACACCATCCTCTCAGCCTACTCGAACAACGGGGACGTCTCGAAAATGCGGGAAATTTTTGGCTCGATCCCGATCAAAGACGGGATCTCTTGGAACTTGATTATTTCGGGCTACATGAAGCAAGGGCTGGCCGAGAGAGCTCTACAGGCTTACAGGTCCATGCTTATGAATGGTCCTGAATATTTGAACCGGATCACGTTCTCCACCGTTATAATAATGCTTTCGAACAAGAATTGGGTGGATTTGGGTGTGGTTGTTCACGGGCAAGTGAAAAAATATGGGTTCGGGTCATATGTTTTCGTGGTCAGTCCTTTGGTGGATATGTACGCTAAATGTGGTTTGATAAACGAGGCCAAACGGGTTTTCGACGAGTTGCCGGAAAAGAATGTGGTTATTTACAACACGATGCTTATGGGTTTCTTGAGAAGTGGGATGATAAAAGAGTCGAGCGATTTTTTCGGGATCATGCCCTCGAAAGACTCGATTTCTTGGACGACGATGATTACTGGGTTAACACAGAATGGGATGCATAAACAGGCGCTCGATTTATTTCGGGAGATGAGGTCGAATGACGTGAGTATGGATCAGTTTACATTCGGAAGTGTTCTGACTGCATGTGGGGCTCTTTCGGCATCGAGAGAAGGGAAGCAGATTCATGCGTATATTATCAGAACCGATCAAATGGGGAGTGTATTCGTAGCCAGTGCACTTCTTGATATGTACTCCAAATGTCGAGACATAAAAAATTCCGAAATTGTTTTTAGGCGGATGAGGAACAAAAACGTCGTGTCCTGGACAGCCATGTTAGTAGCCTACGGTCAAAATGGCTTTAGTGAAGAAGCTGTTCGGATTTTTTCCGAGATGCAGAGGAATGGAGTGGGGCCCGACGAATTTACTTTGGGTAGTGTTATAAGCTCGTGTGCGAATCTTGCCAGCTTGGAGGAAGGTTCCCAGTTTCACGGGCAGGCGCTCATCTCAGGTTTGATTTCCTTTATTACAGTCTCGAACGCGTTAGTTACCTTGTATGCTAAATGTGGGAGCATTGACGAGTCTCATTTGTTGTTTAGCGAGATAGAGTTTAAGGACGAGGTTTCTTGGACTGCTTTAGTTACTGGCTATGCCAGATTCGGAAAAGCTAATGAGACAATTAGTTTGTTTGAGCAAATGTTGGCAAATGATTTGAAGCCAGATGGAGTCACGTTTGTTGGTGTACTGTCCGCTTGCAGTAGAGCTGGATTCGAACAAAAGGGCCGTCATTATTTTGCGTTAATGGTGGAAAAATATAAAATTAAGCCAATTCTCGATCACTATACTTGCATGATCGATTTGTACAGTCGTGCAGGGAATTTAGAAGAAGCCAAAAAATTTATACTTGGAATGCCTTGTCAACCAGATAAGTTCGGTTGGGCCACATTGCTGAGCTCGTGCAGAAATCGTGGTAATATGGAAATCGGAAAATGGGCTGCCGAGTCTCTTCTTGAATTGGACCCACAAAATCCAGCTGGCCACGTTTTGCTGGCGAGCATTTATGCTGGTAAGGGAAAATGGGATGAGGTGGCGAAATTAAGGAAAAATATGCGGGATAAAGGCGTGAGGAAAGAACCGGGATGCAGTTGGATAAAGTATAAGAACAAAGTTCACGTTTTTACGGCAGACGACATGTCGAGCCCGTTTTCAGGTCGAATATGTAAAGAACTGGAAAATATTAATTTGAAAATGATGGAGTTGGGATATGTACCGGATTTGAAATCTGTTTTGCACGATGTTGAGGATTCGGAAAAAGTGAAGATGCTGAGTCATCACAGTGAAAGGCTTGCTATTGCGTTTGGTTTGATATTTGTTCCACGTGGACTGCCGATTAAGGTGGTGAAGAACCTGAGAGTGTGTGATGACTGCCATAATGCGACCAAGTTCATGTCGAGGGTTACTGGGAGAGAGATTCTAGTGAGGGATTCTGTGAGGTTTCATTTGTTTAGGGATGGGAAGTGTTCTTGTGGGGACTTTTGGTGACAAATGTGTATTTTAGTCAAAGCGACACCTGATCGTGCAAGTAAATGATGGTGTTGAATTGTGAAAAAAAATCTTTGAGTTTTATGATGCTTACAAAAACTTCGTTTGATTAAAATTACTATCCTTTGTTTTTTTTTTTCCTTATCCGAGATAATAATAAATTTTTTGAGTGTACGACCAAATTTCTGCTGGTAAGGCATGGT